TGTACTTGACTTCTCTTCAAGCCCTCAACGGGCAAGGTGTATTAAAAAGGTGAAATAAAGATCATTAAGTAAAATCCGTTTGTTCAATATTCCCTGTGGAGCATTCCCTGTGTAATAGCTCCACACACTACTTGACAGCACGCAATACTGGCTAGAAATAGTGGATAGGTTGGTGTTACCAACGTTAAAATAGTAAAATAATGTAACCATACTCTATTAAATGTTGCTATGCAAAAAAATAACATTCCTGGTGATAAAAATTAAAATTCAAATTTTCAATGCTTGGCCTAATAATTTGGCCATATACTGTATATTCCATGTCATTATTCAAATAACAAATTTATAAAAAAATATCGGCAAAAATAAGGTTTTTTGCATTTCTCTCGGTCAACTGTTTATGTATGTCAACTGTATTTAGAAACTCTTAAATTAAACAACTTTTGAAGATCTACAACTTTTATTTGAACCATTTTTTGTCCAATATGTATAAGAAACCTTTTATAGACACAAAATGATTTTTCACTTTCTTTGATTTAAAAAAAAAATTAGCTGTATGTCTTCAAGCATTTGTCATCAACTATCACTCATATAGCTTTTAGAACCTTCCCAAAACCTTAATAAGATTTTTTCAGCCGTTTTTTTTACAGTTTCTATAAGGTCAATTAGTTTGATATCCACCATTTTTTAAATAGGTATATTTCCTATTCTAACCCTCCTGGCACCTCACATAATCACATCGTCTGTTTTATTGCGTTTGCTAAGTGTTTATTAAGTAATTTGATAAATATATTGTTTCTATCTTTTTTTTCCCTTCATCTGAAGCATAAACTCCCAAGATTTGTGATATTACTATTCAAATTTTATTCTTGTTTCTATCAGTTTATTTATAAATGGTGTTTTTTAGAGGTATAGAAATGCAAGTTTGTACCATTTTTTTAACTGTTGGCCATTTTGACAGCTGTCAAGTGACTTATGTTGAGTTTGGTATGGAATTTCAGCATTAATAGACTTGAACAACGACTGAACAACGCTTTCAAATTGTATAAATTTATTTTGAAAATTGTGGTTCTGTTTGAAATGCGTATTGCGCACTACGTCCATTTCATGGTCAACATAATAGTCCATCAGAGCAAGTAATCCGATTAACCATGGAATGTTTTTGCACCACGTTCACTCTAAATGATAAATATGCATCCACAGACACGTCGTACAGTGCGTACAGAAGAAGTTGTTGCTGCTGTAGAGCGTAGCATACAGGAAGACCGGAATTAGTCTATCTGCCATTGTGCACAGCGGTTGGATATGAGTCCATCAACTGTATGGAAGATTTTACGGAAAGATCTTGCTTTGCGTGCTTATAAAATCCAAATCATGCAAGAATTAAAGATACATCATCACCTAGCAAGGCGTAGTTCGGTGAGTGGTTCCAAAACGAGATTGCCGTTGATTTCGATTTTCATAAGCGAATTGTGTTTAGCGATGAAGCTCACTTTTGGTTGAATGGCTACGTCAACAAACAAAACTGCCCTATTTGGAGTTAAGATAATCCTTAAATGTAGGATTGAGAAACCATCACATTTAGAAAAACTGACTGGTGAGCTTTATTGTCTGGTAGAATCATTGGACCGTACTTCTTCAAAAACGATGCTGACCAGAACGTTACAGTCAATGGTGACCGCTATAGAGCCATGATTACTGCCTTTTTCATTCCCCAATTGAACAACCATGATGTGTAGAAGCTGTCGTGTCAATAAGACGGCGCAACATGTCACACAACTCGTGCCACAATTGATTTATTGAAGGACACGTTTAGTAACCGCATAGTTTCACGTTTCGTACCGTGAATTGGCCTCCAAGATCGTGCGATTTAACACTACTAGACTTTTTTATGTGAGGATATGTGAAAGGTCAAGGAATGACGGTCATATTCCAGAAATCACATAAGGCCAAAGATTATCTTTCGAATAAAGTCAATTTCATGTCAATTGATAACAATCATATTTGTTTTATTCCATTTCAAAGTTCTATACCTCTAAAAAAACACCCTTTATATGAGTAGCTTTCTATTATAAGTATCTACTTCTTGTCTATTAATATAGTTACACAGCAGCCAACTTCTTTCGTTTTGATCTATCTCTGAATTTGTTCTTCTGAGTCTGATGAAAATTCCTCTATTTTTCAGTTTTTGTAATAGGTTTCCTGTGTCTAATCTCCGGTTGTTTAAACTGCTTTATTGTGTTGATATGTATCTTCGCTCGAAGCAGTCTAAGATACTACCTGTAGAAAAGCGATTTAGTACGATTGTGTTGTTAGTCTCCAACGATTGATTGGTCTGTTGACATGATGTACACATTGTTTAACACACAATATTAAATATATACATATATTGCCATTGTGGTCGCTATCATCTGAAACGGATAGGCACTACAAGAAGAAGATATGGTGTCGAAAAGTAGACGTTCAACATTAAACTAATGAGTAAATTCCAAGCATATGATATGAGGTAACTAGTCCTCCATCAAGCGTTTCCCTAGGTGTAGAACAAAGGAATGTTTCCCAGATATCGAGGAAATGAAATATCCGAGGCGGACCAAACCTAGCCAGGACTTGGACAGCAGCAATATTAATAATGAGATTAGGCATAAAATAAATAATATAATGCTAACAGTCAGAAAAACACAAAGGAAGTTGTATTAATAGAACTCAACCAACATCCGTATGTCGACGAAGCGCAAGATCCGCAAAAAATATCGCCACTGTCCGCGAGTTACATATCTTCAATTTTAGTTGCTTTGTTAATGCAGAAATGTTTTATTTATGTTTTAAGAAGCCCAACAACAAATCTAACCTTCATAAAAAATGAAATGATCCATGTTTCGAAATAAAACTAATACTTCAAGATTTATTTCAAGAGTATATATTTCCATTTATAGGAAGCAAATATCGAATTACAGTAATAATACGGTTTGTTGTTAATGATCGTTACCTTATCTACCTGATTCGACCTTATAGTTTGCATGCAAGGTTAAAAGATTTTATTTTTCGCGATATTTATTGTGTAGCATGTAATCGAGTTGGTTTTAAACGACACCATGCATGTGCATGTTTGAGTTGTATTTTTTATTAAAATAATTTAGCAGAAATAAGCAATTTTCACTTACTTTCTTTCCACTTGCTTTTCTGGCCACGTTTAATAACTGATTTTTTGCACCAAATTTCAAAATTGTGTTTTATCTATTCACAGGGTGGTGGAAAGTTGCTATAATTCTGCTTTCTTTACATTATATCATGAAATGTAAATAACCGCTGCTATTATGCTAACGAAACTTGTTAACATTAGGTTTAATGAATATATAAAGTCCAGCCTTTGAGAATGTTTGTTGTTTTCAAATTCTAGATTTGGAAATCACATATACTGTAGAGAAAAGGTGTTGGGGACTTTGACTCGGACATGTATCTGACAATTTTTTGAGTTTTGTGGGACTCGATAACTGAGAGCTCTAATTTTCCTGCAGTGAGTTCGGTGGATTTATTAAATTATTAATTATTTGGGGTAGGAAATGCACCATTTTACCATCGTCTACCAGTAAAAAATGAGGCATTTTAACACCTTCCTATACTGGGTGGTGAATTGTCAAACGGGCCATAGGAAACTCAATGGTAAAATATAAACTGTTTAATTTCTGCTTCCCTAACTATTTTACATCCAAAGTCATGAGATCCTAATTGTAGAGGACTGAAATCTGTATTGAAAACAAATGTTAAAATTGTTCTACGAATTAAACACATTTCAAAATTTCCGAGATTTCCAAAATGTTTGAGAAGTTATTGTAGGACTTTCAACTACTGCTGTTAATACATTGATTTCGTTTTGATTTTTGAAATTTCTTGGTACCTCGGCAATATTTTTTGTACAGGTACAATTAGGAATCGCAGTCCCAGTATTTTCAATTTTGTTTTTAAATACGTTAAATAAAGAACTGATAGTGCGCGCACTACCTATTACCCGAATAAAACATATTTTTTATTGCTACTTTCTTCTTAACTCAGTACATTTTATTAAATTTGTTGTTTTTGAAATAATATCATAAAATAAAAATATTGACAATTCAAATATTGTTAATATCTAACTTCATTGTGACCAAACGCAACCCGTTATACACATGCTGCACTACGCGTGGCCTAAATTTTACAAAAATACGCAAATGTATTAAATTTTTGCAAAACTTTGGAATGTTTAGAAAACTTTTTATGTAAAATAATTAGGAAAGCAGGAATTCGACAGTTTAGAATTTCCCATTGAGTTTCCAACGGTCCGTTTAACGATTCACCATCCGTTATAGGTACTTGGTGATGACTATATTGCTCCAATTATTCACAATTTCTGGCGACATCCTTATTTTCTTGCGCAACTCTGGTTTTGTTTTTTCCACGTGAAATATTTTCTTTATTTACGTAACCGGTCGAAACTAATCATATATCAATATATTCTTGTAATATGCCCAAGCCGTTGAGTTTTCAATTTTAAACAGTAGTATGAGTTTACTGTTCATTCGTCTTGATAATCCGTTAGTACAAAGAGATGTTGAGAGTCTTTGTATTTAGCCACATATCAAATGCTTTTATTCTTTTTCAGTATATATCTAACCAGGTGCACGCCTTAACACCGTACAGAAAACACGGTTTCTTAAGTTGTAAACTTTACTACGCAATAAGTTGAGGAATGCATTTTTCTTCAGCATGTTATTCCACATTTATAATTATATACTTCCGTTAGATTATATGCTTAAAAGCCATTCAAGAAAACGGAACACATAGTTTGCATGTTTAAGGGAAGACACAAATGATATTCTGCATTTGGTTGACAAAAACAACTAATTTTTGTCGTTTTAACACCAGTAGTTGTCATTCTTGGCATTAGTAGCCCGTATCATATTTGCCTTTGTCGTAACTACATAAACACACTTAATAAACCGTTTTTTTTACTTTGTTTCTTTTAGGCGACGATGTTTCCAGCACCACAGACAATTTTTCCTTACAAAACGACGACTCAGCTCTTCCACAAGAGTGGTGTAGAAAATCTGAATGCGTTTACGGTCTGTCCGATTCTCTTTATGACAGAAATCAAGTAACGAAGAATAAAAATGGCGATCCCATAGCGGATTGTTTTGGAATTATCGCGAGGAGCGATTCTGCGATTTTGGCGGTAGCAGACGGCGTCAATTGGGGTGAGTTGATTGTAATATGTAATAAATCATTAATTATATCCACATTATATATTTTTTTCTCCCTGGGCCATTCTGATCAAAAAGATCTCCGTTATCATTGAAGCTAAAGCTTATTTTGTTTGCTGCCGATTGTTGTTTCCTACACCCAGTCTAGAATTTTTGTCCGCTGTAGAAGTTTGTACAGGTCTTTTGCTTGGTGTGTCGTAAATATACCAGGGTTTCCACTTGGTTATCCATACAGTTTTTGTCTTTTACGATCCAGCGTCTCGCAGTCGCATAATACATGTTTTATAATTTCTAGTTTTTTATCACAGAGTCTGCAGTGAAGTTATCCATTGTAAACGGAGACTCTCTTCCAATATCACTCTTGACTCTCTTTGATCCAGTCCTCTACAGCCCTACGAACTGCCGTCTTTGATATTTCCAGAGTTACAGCCGGTTCATTTGATTCGTTCGATCCTCTTTTTGCAAATTGATCGACTTTTTTCGATGCCCTGATGTCCTGGTATCCAGACAAGCTCAATCGTGTTCCGGTCTCCCAATTCATTCAATTCTTTAATGCAGTCACACACCATCCTAGACGTCACTTCCTAACGCGCTAGTGCCTTCAGTGCAGCTTGACTGTCAGAAAATATACAGATCTGCCCTTTTTCAACCGCTCCCTCATTATTTCCTTTTGCACATTGCAGTATCACATAAATCTTCACTTGAAAAACGCTGCATTTCCTCCCCAAGGCAAAGCTTTCGCTACTTCGTGGATTATTCGAGTATATTCCTGCCCCACACCCTCTGCATATTTGGATCCATCTCTATAACATATCTTACCTGGTTGGTTATGGTATTCATTGTTCCTCCATACATTCCTGTCTGGACTAGACACCCTATATGAATTCTTAAAATAATTTTTCTTTGTCATGTGATCTGGTTTCCCATTAAAAATGTCCTTCGTCATAGTCCTTGGTGAAATTCCGTTTCACCCGGTATATATTCTAAATCATGCTTATATTGCGATTCTCGGAAGGAACAAAGGAAGGCATTTAACGGTACTTTTTGTGGTAAAAACTCTGTCGGTAGCCGCCTGCATAATTTGGATATTATCTTTAGTAGAGTTGAGTAAAAGTTATCATAGAAATCAGTCGCAAATTCTCGCAAGCCCGTTAGCTAAAATCGTTAGCTTGCGAAATATTTGCTTTGCTTATCTTGTATTTCTAACTAAGTAGTTCGCATCGTATGATTCTTTATAAATAGTACTAAATCAATCACTGATAGTAATTAGTATTATAGCTATAAGTTAAATATTTTCATTCAAACCAGCAGTGTTGCCAGTAGTTCTCTTTTAACATAGAAACGACATTCCGCTAAGAAATTATACTTGTAATTATATACAATAGTATCTACAGTGTTACCGGACAGCTATCAGAAATTGCTATTTAATCCTAGCATTAAATATAAGTTAGTGTTTAATCTGTTTTTCATTTCAGCATAGGCTGGTGGTCCTTCGATTCCTCTCTTTACGCCCTTTTACTCAAATGCCCTGTCATTTCATTGTAAAGTTTCAGTGATTGTGTTATTCTGTAGGCTCCCAATCTTGCTTCTTCTTGTATTATCAAACGCAAGGGAGACAGGCCTAGTAGAGCTGCTGTTGAAGTAGTACGCTTGGCACCAGTTATACCCATGCACGCTAGTCTTTGCACTTTACTGAGTTTGGCTTTTGCAGCTGTTTGAAGTGTCTTACTCCACCACATCGTCGCTGCATAGGTAATTGAGGGTTGCGTGCAAAAATAACTACACTGCTTGTTATTTTTTCTAATTGCCGGTTCCAGGTAAATTTCGAGTCTAGTATAACCCCGAGATACTCTACTCTTCCTTTGGCTAAATTACTTGTCGCTGTCGCTTTAGAGTGTCATTGGATGTCTCCATAATAGCAAGATTCCTAAAGACTGGAACGAGAGTCTAGTAATACTCTTAAACAAATAAGGGGACAAATGTGATCTACAGAATTTAGACCTATATCGTTGCTCAGTCAAATATACAAACGATTTATGAGAATTATTAACAATCGGGATGACTTACAAAATGGACAATTACCAACCGGTTGAACAGACTGGCTTCTGCAAAGGATATAGTACATCAGACCATCTGCTGACAATGAGAACATTGATAGAGAAGGCACATGAATATCAACTACCCGTATATCTTGCTTTCGTCGACTATGAAAGGCGTTTGATAGTATCGAGATGTGGGCCATAGAACAAGCTATTAATAATTGTAGAATAGATTCGAGATATAGGCAACTAATACATAAAATATATGAAAATGCAACTATGATAGTACAACTAGACGGAAATACAAATTCTATCCCCATTAAGAGAGGAGTGAGACAAGGAGACGTAAAGACGCCAAAACTTTTCAACTTAGCCCTAGAAGATGTCTTCAAAACTACAAATTGATCAACCTATGGCATTAACGTTAATGGCAACAAGTTAAATCACCTCAGATTCGCTGACGACATCGTGATTATAGCGAGCACATTCGAGGAACTGCAAATTATGATGGGGAAATTAGCAGGCAACTCCCAATACGTCGGCCTAAAAATGAATATGAAAAAAACAAAAAGAATGACAAACACAGATGACCCCAGACGTATAACTTTAAATGGCAGTGAGATATAACAAGCCCAGGAATATATCTACCTAGGCCAAATCCTGAAACTTGACAAAGAGATCCAAAGTGCGGAAATTACTAGAAGAGCAAGACTAGCATGGGCAGGATTTGTAAAACTTAGGTGGATACTTAAGAACCGCAAAATACCCCAATACTTGAGGAGCAAAGTGTTCAACCAATGCCTCCTTCCTATCATGACATATGGATGTCAAGCCTGGACCCTAACCAAGGCAAACATGAATAAACTAGCCACAACAGAAAGAGCAATGTTAGGTATACGACTGTCAGATAAAAAGAGGAACGACTGGGTAAGATCAAAAACAAAGTCGAGGACATAACAACAAAAATTGACAAACTTAAATGGAGCTTCGCTGACCACACTGCTAGACAAAAAGAACAACGTTGGAATACTACAATACAACATTGGAGACCTTACGAAAGTAAACGACCAAGAGGAAGACCACAGATGAGATGGGTTGATGACATTAAAAGAGTAGCCGGAACAAATTGGAAATATGTTGCTCAGGATAGAGACCGATGGAAGGAGTTCGGAGAGGCCTATGTCCAAACATGGTTGATAGAAGGCTAAAAAGAAGAAGAAGTCGCTTTAAAGGACCTAATCCCTCTAGTCTCTGTCTGCGTGTGAAGGCAACTATGGAGGATTTGTGGGAACTCATATTTAGCCCCTCTCTATAAGTCCATTTTCTCACGAGTTCAAGGCATCGTTCATGCGATTTCTGACTATCGTATTGTACTTTTCTTGCGAGATGATTACCAAATCATTCATTGTAATTAACGAGAAAATTTAAGTCACAAATTATCGAATTAATAATCCAAGGGCTGGCGTAACATTATTTTGTCTTATGCTTTTCAGTAGACTTCTATTCATTCTGTATGTTTTGTAACCTTTCGAAATTTTAAAATAAAAAATAAATTTTAAATGGTAAAATTTAAGTTAGTAAACTATTAAATGAAAAATATTAAATAATAAAAATAAGTTAAGGATAGGGTATATTCTATCAAATGTACTTATATTTTTAGGAGAAAAGGCTAGCATAGCAGCCAAATCAGCTGTACACGGCAGTCTGCACTACCTCAACAAGACAATATTCAACGATACCAAACCGTTCGAAAGTCTTACCATAAAGACTGATGAGAGCTCTACGTCGAGCACTATTCTAGACGAAAAAGTTAATCTTGTAGGTAGTACAAGGGAAGTTTTCGTGTGTCTTTTGAGAGCGTTTAATTGTGCTCATGATCTCATTTTAGAAAATAAGGTAGGTCCCTTCATTATTCGGTCACTTCACTTTTTATTATTAATTTTTTATTTAGAATTTCTTTATTAATGAATTATTTTAAGGGTATGTTGACGACGTTAACAGTGGCCGTGGTTTTGCCGCTTAGGCAGAAATTGGAGAAAAGAGTGAGGCTGCCAAACGGTCAGGAGAGAGTAGAGACTGAGGCGCAATATGTTTGTTGTGTCTGTAACGTAGGTGATACGTTGGCCTATATTTATTCGAGAAAGTACGGAGTCAGAGAACTTACTAAAGGTAAGTTATAGAATATTATATATTTGATTAATTATTTTTTTTCTTAATTCCCATCATAATTGAGGGGCTTGTAAAAAAGTGTGCAAGTGCGTTTCAACATGTTCTGAGATATTTGTATTAGTAACGACGACTTTAACTTAGGATAAAATGGGTACAAGTGACATTTACCCCGGTATTCGACTCAGCAAACTGTAGAAACTAGTTATGTATTATTTCTACTTGCCAACAGATGGCAGTTAAGGTCAAAATGTCACTGTATATGTGTTGTTCCAAAGAAATATTATGTGACGACAATGCTTCTTCTCTTCCTCTTAAAGTGCCGTCTCCCTACGGAGGTTGGCAATCATAATGGCTATTTTTATTTTTGAATTTGCTGCTCTAAACAAATCAATGGATCTGCATTATAACCAATCACGTAGATTCTTCAACCATGAGTTCTGCCTTCAGCCAACAGATCTTCTTCCTTGAATCTGTCCCTGTATTATGAGTCACAAAATTTCATATTTTGGTCCCCTCATCACGTGGCCTAGGTATTCCAGTTTTCTGGTTTGTATAGTGGTGATTAGTTCTGTTTCTTCACCAACCCTCTCCAGTACTTCTTTATTTTTAATTCTATCAGTCCATGATATTTTTAATACTCTGCGGTATAATCAGAGTTCGAAAGCCTCGATTCTTTTTAAATTGCATTTAATAATATTAAAAATATATAACAGCGAATGGTACGTAGTCTGATCTCCAAATTTACATTTTTGCACGTTAGAAGCGGCTTCATTCGTATAAATGCTGATCTTGCAATCTCTATTCGCCTGTTTATTTCTACAGTATGATCATTGGTTTCATTGATCAAAGTTCCCAAGTACTAATATTTTTCTACTTGTTCTATCACGTTACCATTGATTGTCAATAGGTGATGTATATTTTGTAGTCTTTTTGTAATTAGCATGTACTTCGTTTTTTTAGCGTTTATAGTAATTCCCGCCTCAGCACTATTCATACTTAAGCTTTCGATAAGATGTAGATCTTCTATACTCGTTGCTATGATCACAGTGTCACCTGCATATCTTAAGTTATTAATTAATTTTCCGTTAATGGTAACTCCCGCTTTGATATTATTGAGCGAGTGTTTTGGAAAATTTCTTCAGAATATGTTAAACAAAAGTAGCGAATAAACACATCCCTGTCTAACTCCTCTACAGATCTTCATTTCTTCTGAGTGTTGCCCGTCAAATTGAACTATGGCGCTTTGGCACTTTGCTTGTACCTGTTTTATACTAAAGCCTTTAATTGTAATGCAGTCAACTAAAGTTTAACACATAATAAGTTTCTTAATGGAATATGAAATGATCTTATAATTTTACTTGAAAATAATGCATTTATTATAGCAAGTCAAGGTATTTCACTCTGTATTTATAGATATTTTGACTGAACATGAAGCTGTGTCATTTCAATTGTATTTAAAAAATTTAAAGAAAGCTTAACCCTGATGTAATAAACACATCACACAAATGTTTTTAGATTTATAGTGCTTTTGTTCTTGTAATCCAAAAATTTAATCTAAATATCTAAAAATTGGATCTAAGCTTGGTATGTTATCTTATTGTGATGGATATTAAAATATTCTAGCTTTATTTTTCATATTTATTTTGGTAATATACAATAAAGATTATTTTATCATCAGATTTAAGTCATGTGGCTTACTTCTCTTAAGAGGAAAATTCAATCATGCTATTTACCTAGCGTATCAAAAGAATTGAACTCTGTGGGTACTCTTTCCTTTGTATCAATTCCTAAAACAAACTTCACTTTAATTAATATATTATTTTCTGTCTCTTTAGGTTCCCACGATATCAACTCTAACAGAGACATGCGAGACGCACTAGGAGCTCTAGGTCCTGTAGACGGTATCAATCCAGAACTTAGCAACCTCACGCTCTCTATAACGACGTTGCAGAAAGGCGATATCGTGATGGTGGCCAGCGACGGTCTTACCGACAATTTTGACCCCAACGTCTGTAAATTTACCGTGAATACCAAAAACGATCAACCTCCTGCGAGGAAAGCAAGTACGCGACAAAGACCTGTACAGTCTCAAATGCCCGTAGAAATTAAGGCTCCCGTAGTTAAACCTGTTAGAAATTTAGAAAGCAGCGGGCAAAAGCCTCCGGTGAAGCCCCCTAGGAAATCTAAGACTAGAGATCTAACGGGCGCAAACTCGGCAGAGAAATCTAGTATAAACAGTAACACTGTTTCTGATAAGTCTTCCTCCCCTTCTGTAGAGAACATTTCGATACAGAGCAAGAATAATACAGTAGTAGAACATTCCAGTGTTAGTAGTTCAAATGTACAAGAAGCAGAAGCAGCTAATAAAGATTATAATAGAGAGCTAACAAGTAATGTAGTAGAGAGTAGTAAAAGTAATAGCCTAAGTAGTAGAAATCCCGAGTACGAAAATCCGCTTATAGCAGCTTTTATGAGTCAAAATTCCTTAGATGGATCGCCGAAAGTAGAAAAAAGTGAGTAAATTATAGATATTGAATACTTTAGCTTTAATAATTATTATAATCATGGTCATGATCATCACATACGCTTCAATTGATTTAAACTTTTATTTACTTTACTTGCACAAATTGCTTTACTTCATTTTAAAATACTGACTAGAGTGACACCCACAACAATAACCGATCTTTATATATCTCTTGATGAATATTCCGGATAATTCAGGTAAACAATCGAAAAATACAGAAGTAGGTCATTCCTCAATCATGTTGTGAATACTTTTGTAGGATTAGAAAAATGCGAAACTTCTAATTTCTCATTTCAATCTTCATATCTTCGGATACTAGCTACCCAGAAGATGTTATCGCGGCTTAAATTAAGTTTTTGGCATCTACATTCATGAGAATAGCAGAAAACCTTTTTATTAACATAATTCTGGCGTGTTGACTCAATTTCAGCTTATCAACAATACAATTAAAGTTTTTTTGGATAAACTTCAAAAATAACGTCGTCTTATCAGTTAATAGTTTGCACACAATTTCTTTATTGTGCAAATTTCTAAAAATTACCCATAAAAGACCATTAAAAAATCCAAAAATTGATACAAATATCAAACATGGATGTCAAACAGTAATTTTACAGATTTTTAAATCTTTTATATTCTCCCAAAATTAAAAAAGAACTTTATATGCAAATTTATATCCAAAAATTATATGCAAATGGGCCCCTCTTAGTATTTATAGAGACTCCTGAATTCTTCTAAACCTTTTTTTATTTAATTTTTAAATCCTTTATATTCTCCCAAAATTAAAAAAGAACTTTATATGCAAATTTATATCCAAAAATTATATGCAAATGGGCCCCTCTTAGTATTTATAGAGACTCCTGAATTCTTCTAAACCTTTTTTTATTTAATTTGATGATATTTAAAAAGAAAGTAAATTAAAAAAAATTACTCAAATAAGCCTAATGTTAGTTATGACCAACTTTGAGGGGTTCTATAAATTTGATGACGATTTAAAATCTATGGGAGTTAAAGCTTAGAGAAGAGTTGTATGAGACAGCGGTGAATAGAGGATTCTTCCGAAAAAGGCTTGGTTCATAACGAGTTGTGATTCTACTAATGATGATGATGATGAAGAATTAGGGTTTAATATTATATTTAATATACACATTTTTTTGTATTTTATGGATTTCACAGTAATTAATAACAGCTTTACCTTATTTACCCCTTATTACCCTTTATATTCACAAATATATATAGATATTTGTAAAAAAAAATTTAAAAAAGCAAACAATTTATACAAATGGGCTGGCCCCAAGTATTTATAGGGGTTTTCTACACATTTGTTTCATTATATTTCATAATATTTAAGGAGAAAATAACTTTGGAAAAATTAGAGACACGGCTTGTGACTATCTTCACGTCCATTTACTTTTTTTTATGTAACAATAAAACACTGAAAACTTTGTTTTCAAACTTCCACAAAATTTATGTTAACTCTTGTCACTACAGCTGTTTCGGCTGATTGCCTTTCTCAAGTGATCTATTTTTGGCATGCGTTTATAAATTATAGTCTCTAATGAAATAGGTTGAGGAGGGGAGAACTGTTTGTCTCAAGTTAGTCATTCAGAATTATATCTGTGTTTTTTAATTTGTTGATTTCCATAGATTCTAACAAAGATAGCTTAAGGCCTTTATTTTGAATGTGAAGGATTTTAAATTTGTCATTAAAAGAATGATTATGATCTAGAAGTTGAAGTGCGTATGTCGAATCTGTTTTTCTATTATTGAAAGCCCTTTTATGTTCTGCTATTCGTTTATTAAAGTTCCTACCAGTTTGACGGATGTAAGTTTTTGGGCAGTCGCCACATTGAAGTTTGTACACACCACTATTTAAGTGTTTTTTATTTTGGCTCTTGTTGTTTTTAATGTATTTGTCTAGGTTGTTATTTGTTCGGAAAGCTGGTGTTATTCCTTTCTTTTTATGTGTTTGGCTATTTTTGTTGTTATTTTGCCTGTATATGTAATCGAGCAGAAGGTACTGGGTTTTTTCTCTGGTGGTGGAAATACTAATTTCAGGGCTTTCTTGTGTAGTTTTTGATTTAACATTTTATTAATTGTTTGTTCGTTGTATCCGTTAATTACTGCAATTTGCTTAATTATATTTAATTCTGTCTCAAAGTTGTATTTTGACATCGGAATTTCTGTTAACCTATGTAACATACTATGATAAGCTACCAGTTTATGTTGTGTTGGATGGGATGATGAATTGTGTATAGTAGAGTTAAAATAAATTTTGTGAAAGTTTGAAAACAAAGTTTTCAGTGTTTTATTGTTACATAAAATGAATTTCCATCAAGTAACGGTCGAATCCATCAATTACTTTTTTTTTACTTTTGGTGGTATTTCCACTGAAACTATTAAAATACGATTCGGGTCTCGGGCGTCCTATATCAAGATTTTATTCATATACGATTCGGGTCTCGGGCGTCCCTAATAGTGCCGTTTTTAAACGTTGTTTTTTTTTCATATAAGTAAATATTCTTAAAATTCTTCTTCTTCGTGCGACTAGGATTACTCCTGTTTGTCTGCCTCTTATTCTGTTTCAGTCGTTGTTGACTGTACATTATCTTTCCACCTTTTTGGCTGCCTTTCAACGGGTCTTCTGCTATACGATTTGTTGTTTTTACAGAGGTTCGCTAATCTACCTGGTCCCATTCGGTTTACATTTTCGTTCCAGTTTTTTTCTTGTTTTTATCCACCTGTTAATATTTTGAATTTTGCATTGTTCGCGTATTTTGCTGTTGGTTTGTCTGTCTCTTAATGATATACCCGCTATTGATCTTAATACTTTCATTTCGATATTGTTGATTTGTTGTTTCGTCTTTCTTGTATCGGTCTTTGTCTCCGCTGCATATGTTAGGATTGGTCTTACTGTTGTCTTGTATACTTTCATTTTGCTTTCCGTGGTCAGATATTTGTTTCTCCATATGATTTCTCGGAGGCAACCACTTACTCTTGCCGCTTTTGATGCTTGCCTTGTGGTCTCTGTTCTTATATCCCTGTCACTAGTGATCTCTACTCCTAGGTAATTGAATTTCATTACTTGTTCTACAATTTTGACGTCTATTTCTAGTTTGCATCTACGCGGCTCTTTACTGATCACTATACATTTAGTTTTTTTTTACTGATATTCTCATATTAAGTTTGGTTGCTGTGATATTGAAGGTGTGGAGCTGCCTTTGTAGGCCATCTTCGATATCAGCAATTAGTACTGCATCATCGGAATAGCATAGTATCGTGATTTTATGCGCTCCCATGTGGTATCCGTGTCGTTTTCTTATTTCGTGAATTATTTGATTCATCACCATATTGAATAACAATGGGATGAGCGAGTCTCCTTGGCGGATTCCTTCTTTTAGTTCTATGCATTCTGTTTCTCCTGTTGGCATTATAATTCTGGTTTAAAATTCTAATATGTGAAATAAATGTCGACAATTCTGTTTTAAGTACAAGGTTTTATCAGGAAATAAATATAATAACAAATAAGACTATTTTTTAAAAGAAAAATCTGTATTTTATTTATAAAAGAAATACCTGGACAAAATTAACAAATATGCATTAAAAATTAATTTACATGTTTTTCGTTGAAACAAAATAAACAGTATCCTGACTGACCTGTACAATCAACGCAATAGCTGATTACTTTTCTAACTTTATTATCCGCTTCTCGACTTTAAAGTGATTTCCGTAATATTGTGTAACATCCTACACACTTATTTCTTGGTTTGCGTCCTTTACCCTCCCGTTTTACAAATGTATGGATTTTTCGTTTTGGTGCTTTATTTATTTTATCTCCAGTATCCGTAGTAACTAATGACCGAGCTAATTGCCTTCTAAACTGCATCATAGACAACTTTTTTCCTGTGGCTAACTGAAAAACAACTTATGCATTTACAATACACATTCCAAAAAGCAACTCGAAACAAAGCTTTCGATACTATTTTAGTGATTTCCTCAAAACCGTAAAATATTCGGTTATATAACCTTGTCTCTTATATATCCACTTTATTTTTCTTAAATTCCCACTTTCTTCTCCATACACCTTAGATTTCTTCATCTTTCTTTCAAAAGACTTTGGAATCTGTTTTCTATTAGATCGAAGTGTTCCGCAGTATGTAATACTTCTTTGATACAATTCTAGTCTAAACTTAAAATTAATTTTAGTAGAATGTGTTCTGAATGACTGTTAGTGCTAATATTAACGGTATCGCAGTTTTTACCTGCATTAACTATCATATTCGGAACGTAATGTTTGAATAACAATCTGCCTCTCCAAGGAATCATGCTTTTATCTATTATAATCGTTTTTTCCAAGTGTCAACACCAGGCCAGGTATATCGAGTAATGGTTTTACTTTTCAGAACCTATTTTCACTAGCACGGTGTTATCAAAAAAATGTAGATATTTGACCACTGTTAAAAATCTATCACGGGGCATGATGGATGGAAGTGTCTGCAGAGGAGCTAAGCCCATTGTTACAGTTATTGTAAAAAATGATAAAATTTCATTTTTATCGGTATTATTCCATGTAACTCTCTTCTTACTTTTCTTGGAAATATTTAATTTTTGGATTGCATACATATTAGTTTCTCTAATAATCAGTTCCAAAACATTAGTCTAGCAGTTCTTTGATATTTTCCATATTAACATTTAACTTTTGTGTACAATTTGTTACAAACGGGTCGAGTTTCGGAAAAATATGTCCTCATAAGACACATTGTTGACTTTGAATGTTAGTGACATTTTAATCAGAGTATTGATTATCTTGATCCCTTGCATCTGAAGCAGAAAATAAATCTGATTCTGATCTTCTGAAAAACGGCATGTAGTTTCTATCTTTTATAGAATCGTCACTAGAAAATGGCTTATCGTCATTGTTACTTGATACTTCGATATCAGTTCTTTCACAAATAGCAGTATTCTCAAAGAGGTCATATTCAATTTCTTCTTCCAACAGAACTTGCCTGATATAATTGTCTTGATTTACTGTTTCTTCTTGAGTAACTCTTGTAACCATTCCAAAATAATTACCATTTTGCTCTTGCAATGGATTATTATCAGATTCTTCCGAAAAAACAGAACATGCAGATGACTCGTCATAATCTACTAGTTTCTGTACAATGACTTTTGGTTGAAATACGATAAGTATAAGTAATTGTACATGAATCAGACCTCGGGCTGTTGGTATTAGCGTCTACGTAGGGCACTTGCTTGATTGCTTTAAGTCTTTATCAAACGTAGAGAGGACCTAACCTCGGAAGATAACTGATCTTGTTAATTTATGCCTCTAATTTTAGGTGTTAAGCCTCAACCTCACGCACCTGCGGTAGCAGAAAACAAAGCCAGTAGTTTAAGGCGCCAAGCTTCTAGTCACAGTCGAACCGAAACCTTCGATTCCAACAGGAAACCGGTTACGCCCAAAACACCTTCTACCGCCAGTAAAACTTTGAAAACAGTGGAGGAGAAAAGCAGCACCGTTGGTAGGATGGAAGCCGGGTATAAATTCTTGCGATCGAAGACTACTATAGATATGAGAAGTTCCAATTCTAAGCCTATAATAAGAAACGAAGATGGGGTTCCTTATATTACTCCTCTGCAGAGATACGATCTTCAGTTGTTGTTGATGGAAGATATATTGAAGAACGGCATATCAGGTAAGGTAATTTTTACTAATTGCTATAAGTAGAAAATATCTGAGCAATGGCAACAGGTTTTTATAATTTTGTTCCACAAACTTCTTTATTCATTTACAGTATTAGGAGATAAATATATAAATATATACTATTCCTTTAGAGTTTATCAGATTGCACGTTATCAATGACATTTTTACGTCAGCACAGTACAACCAATCACAAATCACCTACCTCTAGATGCTTCACGACAATACTTTAGTTAGATATGAAATTCAGCGCTCCAAGAGATTTGTATCGGAACTAATGCAACCGGGAAATTACTCGGGAATTTCAAAATTTAATTTTTATGGGAAAATTTAAATAAAATTTAAAATATTTAAATATAATTTGGTATATTTGAAAAAAAAATTGCATTTGAAATTTTGAAATGTGTAAATTATTTTTAAATTCAAATATACACAATACCATTTACGAAAAAATAAGACAAAATATAATTTATTTATTTATTTAATACATGTAAAACAACTTTGTATATAAATTTAGAATACAATAGAAATATGCTTTATTATCACCGAAAATTGTACAATTTTATGGACAAAGCTTACAAAAAGTCAGAAAAATAATAATTTAAAATTTACTGAAATTATATAAATCGTCAATATCACAAAATAAAAGGTAATAAAATACACAATATATTGCAAAATTTAAATAAATTGCAAATTGCATAGTTTAAGTTGCTGCATGTGATACTGAAATATATATTTATACAAATACTTTAGTTACTTATACATAAAGCTATTCGTTCAGAAACTCTTCTACTGAAAAACATGGTCTTTCAGATAGATAGGTTTTTGTCCTTTTATGGAACTTAAGGAATGAAGTTGAAGATTTAAGTTGCAAAAGGAGATGGTTGTACATTTTTTTTTGCTAAATATAATATAGATTTCTTTACTAACTCAGTGGGCGGGTTCAGTAAATACAAATCAAAGGTTGAATTTCTGGTAGAGTAGTCATGATTAGGTCTGGCTGGAAAAACATGTAGTTGTTTACGAAAATATATAAAGAGGGAAGAGTTAAAATCCCGTGATTTTTTAAGTAGTTTTTTCAATATTCTACTGAGGCCAAAAAGATATTGTATTGCTCTTTTTTGAAATTTAAAAACAACATCAGATTGGGGCAGCTTCCCAAAGCAGAACCCCAAAAAAGAATACCATATCGAAGATGAGACTAGAACAAAGAAATATATGTTATTTTAGAAGATGCTAAATTGATTTCTTTCGAACCAGATCCTATTGTAGAGCAGGCTGAGGCTTCTAAGAAATTAGAAATTACTTCCAACAACACATTTTTAATTTGAGGGGTTTTGCACCACCTCTGCTACAAAACTGGTATGAAATGGATAATTTCCACTGTTTCTTAGACCTCTTACCATAAAAACTAGAACATGATCTGCTATATATGAATCTCTTGTCATCTACCACGTCTTCAAAACCATCTATATACCTACTATGCTCATTCTAACGAAGACTATAAATATAATCGCCATTTCATCAAATAGTATAGCTATATGCTTATCAATTCCTTCCATTTTTTATATTGTTGCTTTTAGTGACTCAAATATTAACTTATTAATTCCTGGGCCCCCAATAGTTTGAGCCAGAAGTTTGTTTAATGATGACTTACTGAGTAAGATAAATAGATTGGAAAGAATACTATATGAACGAGCACGTTGTTTTTATAAAGACAAAGTTAAACATTTCTCATTAAGTGTAAATTGTCTTAGCTCTTTTGCTTTAGAGCTCTCTCTGTACTGAATTTACATTAGCGTAGCTGCCATTCTATCAATGTTCTGAAGATCAACCAATTTATTTTCTTTATAAAACTCTTTAGCTTCAATCAGTCTGCGCATAAAAGACTTTTTACTATTTCTTTTCAAAGAATATTTATGGTGTAGTTGTTTTAACGCTTCATATAATTTTTTCTTTTTAGGGTAATTGTACTTCTTGATATCTTACACTGCTGCAATGTTTTCAGCGGTGTGATATTCTTAAGGGAAACACCTAAAAGTAAATGTGATGTTAATTTCTTTATTAAATACTTACAAGGCAAAATCTATTCATTATATTAACCTTCGTGTAGTGATATTACTGCGTGAGAGACTTAGTAGATTGTTTTTTGATGTGAGTATATGATGAAGTACTAGAATGTTTCAGTACCTTCATATATCTTGTTATATTTTAGCAATAGAAGATTATAAACACAGGCAAGCTCCTATGTATAGTTTTTAGCCCCAACTGGTCTATGACAGGGAGGCAACTGAACTTATAAAAAACTCTAGTATCAATATCCGAAGATTAAGCAAACTTAATTTTATAATTAATTATATTAGAGACTGTTTACAAATATGCTGATGATAATACAAAATATAAAATTTTAACTACAATTACCTTTTAAATCCTTACTCTCATCAGTTTTTACAATTAAAATCTCTTCGTTTGGTAACTGTGCATAATTATGTTCTGCAACTAAAAAGTTTCATCAAACAGTAACAAATTGGAAAATTATTAATTTGTTATCTTCCCAATACTGACTACAATGGGGTATCTCAAATGATTGAAATATGTGTGTAAATTGTGCATCTCTACTTGTTGAGCAACTTTCAACTAAAACAAAAAGTTAATATAATAATTTATACCATGATTTACTTCAAGCAAAAAAAATTTATTAGTTACATATCAGGGTAATTTACTTTCTGTTACATTTGCTTCCGCACACAATATTAAAATACTTCTGGGATGTAGATTAGAAGAGGAATCTAAAATCAATCAGCTATTTGTTCTCGGGAATTGCATTTTGGTACAAGCTATGACTCCATGTAGAAGCAAACTTATCTTCAAAGTGCCTGTGGCATATTTATTTTGTTTTAAAAACTGCAGTGGAATTGTAGAATTCATCATATCTAAATTAGGATATTTTATAACACTAACCCACTTCCTAAATCCTATGTCTTTATCAGGATTTGGAAAGGCATGTCTAATTGTTGACGAATTGGTACATTGTAGGTTACAACATTTATTGTGAAAAACCATATTTAACTAATTATTATTAATCTGCAAAATACTATTTGAACGCCAGTAACATTTAAAACACAGACCACTGAGGAAGGTGATTTGTAATTTAAAAACTAATTTGAGGTTAATGCTAACAATAACCCAGATATATTAAACCAACTTTAGTTTGATTTCTTTGCAATAATAACCATCAAATCAAACAATTTAGACGAATAATAACCATCTGAAATCTGATTATATAGACGCTAATTAATTACTGACAATTGGCGATTGACAGTTATAATTTTTAGTTTGGTTCTAAACTTAAACTGAAGGGAATAGACTATAGACAGAGTATAGCGACATCAAAAGATTTGTATCGGTACTACAAATGACATTTAATTTAGTTTGAACTTGAGCTATCTATCTATCTAATTAGCCTTCTTCGGTCCATCTTTGGACATAGGCCTCCCCAATCCTTTTCCATTCTTCTCTGTCTGTCGCTACAGTCATCCACCTAGAACCCACGTGCTTCTTGATATCATCTGCCCATCTCATTTGGGGCCTTCCTCTGCTTCATTTATATTCCCACGGTCTCCAACTTATAAGAATTTTGTTCCATCGGTCTTCTTTTTGTGTTATATTGTGTCCGGCAAATCTCCATTTCAATTTTGCAACTTCTTGGCTAACATCCCTCACTTTTGTGTTTTCTCTCTTATCCACTCGTTTCTCTTTGTATCCGTTAGTCTTATGTGCAACATTTGTCTTTCCATTGCTCTTTAATGATTTTGTCCATGTTTGCTTTTGTAAATGTCCACGTTTGGGAACCATAAGTAAGAATAGGGAGTACGCATTGATTGTATACTTTCGTCTTAAGATGCTGTGGATGCTTTTGTTTTTAAGAATGTAGCTTAGTTTGCCAAATGCCGCCCATGCCAGTCTAACTCGTCTTTTTATCTCTGCCGTTTGGTTTTCTTTGTTAAGTTTTATAGTTTGACCGAGATATAATCCTGAACTTTTTCTATTTCATCTTGTCCGATTCTCATTGTGATGTCTTCATCAGTGAGCGGTCTGCTCACTGACCGCTCACTGATGACTTACTAGTCTTAAAAGGTTCTGTGATGTAACCCGAAATGGCAATTTTAGAATATCTTTACCTTTTATAAACGATCTTTTTAATAAAAGTTGTTAAAATAGTATTTGAATAAACTCTTTATGTCTATTTAAACTGTATGTAGTTTGTATGTAATTCTTCTTTAAAATATTGTTTAATTTTAGGCAAAGATGCTCCGTGCACCTCGGCCAGGAAACTATGTGAAAACCTGATCAGCTACACGATGAGCATAACATCAGCCAAACGCCATACTCTAGAAGATCCAGATCTTTACTTCGATAACAAAAGCGGCGTGTTGGTCGAAGTCAATAACCAAGAGAAAAAAATCCGAAGGAAAAAAGGACTAGAGCGAGTGCAGAATCTTCCTGGAAAACTGGATCACGTAACTGTTGTGGCTTATAACGTAGGAAATAATTTTGCTCACTAAAGTCCACCTATGGAAAACTTCTAAGACTTCTTTTGTAGTACTAGCACAGTATATGTAACGAACAGTTCGTCTATGACTAAGTGACGCATATGTAGCTGTTGCAATGCTGTCATTATTATCTAGGGGTGAGTTTATTCTCAACCATTCGTTACACAGTAACGATTTAGTCCACCTCTAACTTTTTCGTTTCAACATGGCGGTAAATTAGTTCCCTTTACTTTCCAAAGGTGTCGCTAAGACAAACACTACCGTTTGTTGCGTAAATTGTGGTACTAGACTAGTCTAACCTCATTCGAATTCTGATATAATACCTCCGATAATATAATTATCTTTTTACGCAGTACGCTAATTCCAAAAACGAAGTATTATCTTGCATTTTACATAGAGGAATTGCTATCATCATTGAAGTAGAAATAATTGTATAAGTTTTATTTATTTTATAACTTTTTAATGCTCTAGAGTACAACTGAACAAAATTAACACAGTTACTGTTTAATAGCTAATACTAAAACTGATTTGAACAGTTTGTTGTTCGGAATGTCCATTTAATGTCAATTTTGTCAATTCGCCTTATCCTGACCTTTTAAATCTGAAACTTTTGATTAATTTTTGTGTACTAGTGCTTGGATTTTAAGAAAAAAAGAAATTTCAAAGTTTTTAAATATTTGTCAAGAAATTGTAAGTTAAATTTCAACTATAGTTTATTTTTTCTCTTAAATCGTAATATAATTGCCACTATAAATTGATATATCTATATTCTACTTATATTCTTAAGTTCATTACCATAAAGTATCGATAAACAAGTAAAACATGTTTGTATTAAACTTGCAGATGGATTTACTAATGTTCTGTTTCAACATTATTCCACAAACATCATCTCTAGCTGTTACAAGCTTTTTATACATTATATAAACCAATATGTCACCTGTTTTATACCTGATATATATATATATATATATATCGGAAAAAGGAGTACGACCGTCAATCCAATATATATATAAGGATCACTCAGACGAGTGGTGGGTTCTTATATCGGTCTCTAGGTGGAGAAATAAAAGACAAAGTTGATAGGCTACTTTATCTATTTTGAAGACGTTTCGCTTCGAGTTTTGAAAGCATCATCAGTTCATCTAAAAAATTATTACAATATGAGAACCACACAATCATGGAAACGATGTTAATTGTTACCTTAAAAAGATATGTAGCAGTCAATGTTATTAACAAATATGTGAATGAAACTAAGTAAATGGACATAGTACGCTGATCTTGTATAAACAGTTAAGCAACTAACAACATATATGAACTTGTACAAAAATTAGCACAGCAATTGACCATGTGGTCCAAAATAAATTCAATGTTATTTTATATAAATAAGTGAGAAAGAACCAAGAAAATCATAAATAACCTCCAACTATTTAATGGATATTAAACTTTGATTTTAACTTTAGGTAGCATTATAAGTAATATTAATAAAATTCTACAAAATAGTGAGTATGAAGTTACCGATCAAAGCCTGTGGATGTCGCCGTGAAAATGGCGTTAGATGAAACAGGAACGAACTAACCGCAAAAAAGACAGCCAACCTTGAGGTCAAAATTACTTTTGACAGATCAACAAGGTGTAAATACCAACCCAGAATTTTGGGCGGTTAATTTAATTTTTATATTTTATAACTGAGTCTGGATGACTTCCAGGTTGTAAAGGACAACAACAGTGAAAAAAGTTGGTAGTGTACACACAACTCCCTCACTAACCGGCCCAAATTTACAAACCGGAGATTTGCATTCAAACTCATAATAATGTAATGACGTTAATCATGTGGCAAGTTAAATAGTCAGGTGATTAACGATATTATAATTTCCATACAGCCCAAGGTTCAATATACTTGGAGCTGTGATTTGTAAAGGATTCTATGAATCAATTACAATGTTTGTATTATTTTACATATAATTTAAAACTCTAATCAAAGAATTTAGTATAATGAAATGCAATATGGGTTGCATATGTAATAGTAAAATTAAGTAACGAAATTAAGTTATTTAATTGATATATTTATTTATTTTATTTCTATTTATGTATGTAAATTATTTTATGAAAAGTGGAAAAAAAAAGTTCAACTAGTACACCTAATATGACATTAATGTAGTGAAAAGATTAAGTAGCCTAATTTTGCAAAATTAAAGCATGATATATCTGGCTCAAGTTACTTATGTCAGTTCTCTTATTCAATGCATTAGATGTTTTAATATTGAACACATTTCCAAAAACTGTCTTTTCGCTAGATTGCGTTCAGTGGCAAGAATCTTAACTTCATTAAAATCCACTTCATGTTTTGTATTTATCGCATGTTGTGCTAGAGCACAAGTGTGTTTCGATAAGTTAATGTCGCTACGATGTGAAGTGAGACGACCTTTCAATGATCTACCAGATTGCCCAATGTAACAAAGATCGCAATTAGCGCATGGAATTTTATAAATGTGTTCACTTGTTCCAAGGTGGACAAGGGTGTTTTAGTTTTAGAGAACAAATTTCTAACAGTTTTTGCATTCTTAACAGCAATTTTAACAGTATATTATTTTGTTTATACAATTTAATAAGCTTCTCAGTAACTTGAGGGAAATATGGTAAGGAAGAGTAATGCGTGATAGTATTCTCAAGATCGGTATTATTCTTAACTACCATTCCTGTCATCCTATGAAATATAAACTAAACCTGATAAAAGCTTTAAGCTTTAGATTAAATAAATTGACACATCCAATAAATCAAGGGAATCCTTTAAGTTATTGAGAAATATTCTAATAGAGAATTCATATCCTTCCTCTATCATCAATAAATACCTTTATTCACATAGTTATGGATCCTCAATTTATGACATACCCGATGGTGACCAACTTATAAACATCTCTAATAATTCTATAAATAGCACTGTTCTGCATAATACCGATCTTGAGAATACTATCACGCATTACTCTTCCTTACCATATTTCCCTCAAGTTACTGAGAAGCTTATTAAATTGTATAAACAAAATAATATACCTGTTAAAATTGCTGTTAAGAATGCAAAAACTGTTAGAAATTTGTTCTCTAAAACTAAAACACCCTTGTCCACCTTGGAACAAGTGAACACAATTTATAAAATTCCATGCGCTAATTGCGATCTTTGTTACATTGGGCAATCTGGTAGATCATTGAAAGGTCGTCTCACTTCACATCGTAGCGACATTAACTTATCGAAACACACTTGTGCTCTAGCACAACATGCGATAAATACAAAACATGAAGTGGATTTTAATGAAGTTAAGATTCTTGCCACTGAACGCAATCTAGCGAAAAGACAGTTTTTGGAAATGTGTTCAATATTAAAACATCCTAATGCATTGAATAAGAGAACTGACATAAGTAACTTGAGCCAGATATATCATGCTTTAATTTTGCAAAATTAGGCTACTTAATCTTTTCACTACATTAATGTCATATTAGGTGTACTAGTTGAACTTTTTTTTCCACTTTTCATAAAATAATTTACATACATAAATAGAAATAAAATAAATAAATATATCAATTAAAATAACTTAATTTCGTTACTTAATTTTACTATTACAAATGCAACCCATATTGCATTTCATTATACTAAATTCTTTGATTAGAGTTTTAAATTATATGTAAAATAATACAAACATTGTAATTGATTCATAGAATCCTTTACAAATCACAGCTCCAAGTATATTGAACCTTGGGCTGTATGGAAATTATAATATCGTTAATCACCTGACTATTTAACTTGCCACATGATTAACGTCATTACATTATTATGAGTTTGAATGCAAATCTCCGTTTGTAAATTTGGGCCGGTTAGTGAGGGAGTTGTGTGTACACTACCAACTTTTTTCACTGTTGTTGTCCTTTACAACCTGGAAGTCATCCAGACTCAGTTATAAAATATAAAAATTAAATTAACCGCCCAAAATTCTGGGTTGGTATTTACACCTTGTTGATCTGTCAAAAGTAATTTTGACCTCAAGGTTGGCTGTCTTTTTGCGGTTAGTTCGTTCCTGTTTCATCTAACGCCATTTTCACGGCGACATCCACAAGGCTTTGATCGTAACTTCATACTCACTATTTTGTAGAATTTTATTTAATATTACTTATAATGCTACCTAAAGTTAAAATCAAAGTTTAATATCCATTAAATAGTTGGAGGTTATTTATGATTTTCTTGGTTCTTTCTCACTTATTAATATAAATAACATTGAATTTATTTTGGACCACATGGTCAATTGCTGTGCTAATTTTTGTACAAGTTCATATATGTTGTTAGTTGCTTAACTGTTTATACAAGATCAGCGTACTATGTCCATTTACTTAGTTTCATTCACATATTTGTTAATAACATTGACTGCTACATATCTTTTTAAGGTAACAATTAACATCGTTTCCATGATTGTGTGGTTCTCATATTGTAATAATTTTTTAGATGAACTGATGATGCTTCAAAACTCGAAAGCGAAACGTCTTCAAATAGATAAAGTAGCCTATCAACTTTGTCTTTTATTTCTCCACCTAGAGACCGATATAAGAACCAACCACTCGTCTGAGTGATCCTTATATATATATATATATATATATATATATATAATATATATATATATATAAATTATATATATATATATATATATATATATATATTTCAAACTGTTCAAGGTAACTTTTCAACAAAAAAGTGACTTCTAATGGCATCATCACTACTACAGTTCAATGAATTTAATTTATAGCGTTCAAGTTTTATGGATTCTATTTGAAAAATCCTCTTAAATATTTACGTTTTTAAGTTTAATGTGATTATATTTTTTGAAATTATTTAATATGTTAATGTGTTCATTTTGTTCAGAATTTTATTTTTATATTAAATCGGATGGCTTGCTAAAACGCCAATCTTAAAAATTGAATCTTTGTATCCGGTAATTAGGGATAAAGCTCCAGAAAAATAGGTCTGACTGTAATATGAATATGTAATACGACGTATGTCATTGACAACGACATGTTTTGTTTCTTGTATGCATTGACGTTTTGCGGTATATTGACAGTTATTGTCTCACATGACATATGGGAATTCAGTCTTATTGCGGCCATGTCCAATGGATGGAGATCTTGCTGAAATGGTAAAGTAAGGAAGGCTTCACAAAAAATTAGAATTAATGAAAATAATTAAAATTAATGTTTTTATAGATTTTAAAGACTGTTGTCGACTCTTGTCGTATTTCTTTTTGTTGTAAGTAATTCAGTAAGTCAGTTATGTTCATTGTTTTAATCTCATTTTATTGGAAAATAAGACTACCAATTATGGAAATTAAGTTCTATGTTCACTACACACGCTCATTGCTGCACACGAATCTACACATACTGCCAAATACGGACCATCAATAACACATATAATATCTTCTAGAAATAAATAAGTGCCTTGAAAATACTTATGTAAGTAAATTTTCTGACAATTTTAAAAAATTTCTAACAAAATTAACATTTTTCTGTATGAAATGTAATACAGAATTGTAACTACAAATAAAAATGGTTCACTGTTATCTATATGTATAACAAACATTTTATAGAACAATCAAAAATCGCAACAAATTGAAAACAGACTTTTACTTATTTATCAAGATATCTTACATTGAAAACCTTATTTAATGTTACATGATCACCAAAACAATCTGATTTAACGCACTATCATGTATATCTTATTATTGAATGTATGATGTAAAAGGGTGTAAATCATTCTTTGTGAAGTCTTCTACACACTTATAAAACATTAAATAAAAATTTTAAATTGGGTTAGTTGTTACTATATTCAGCATACAAGTATGTGAAGTTGTAAATGAACTATTGAAGTATAATGTCATCTTATAGGTGGAGGGGATGAATTTTTTCATTTTAAGTTGTAATTATAGATAAAAGTCTATAATACATAATTTAATTTCAAACATTCCTAAATTGTTTCGGAATTTAAAGATAACGTGTTAATTTGCGTGTATTTTTAGTGTGTTTGATAATTTCTTTGTAAATATTCGTAAGCTCCGCACACCTACTGTGACGTTACGATTTCATTAGTCCATTTTTGGCGAAAACTAAGTGCAATATCTGCTTTGGCATGAATCAAACGTATTTCTACGTCACTTTCTTAAAAGTATTTTTATAGTGATGAAATATTTTTTATATTAATCTATTCGTAATCGTGAAGTGTTCGTTGAATTTTAAGTTTTTAAAACTTTCTTTGTATGTCTAAAAGAAAACAAAAAGGAATTTTTCCTCGATTTTACAACAGAAAACCCCAATTGTTATTTTTCTTTGTTACTTTTGTATGTTTTCGTTGTCTTTTAATGTTCAAATAAATTATCCAAACAAATAGTTGTTTTATTATAATGAATCTTAAGATTTGGCACGGCATTGTGGCTTTGTGGTATAAAGTGATAATAGAGACTAGAAATATACATATTATATAGAAGTCATTTAGTTATTGATTCAGGAGGAAATGGAACTACTATAAGATGATTTTCTAATATAAAGTCTTCTTAAAACAAAAATTCACATCAAAAAGAAAACTAATAACATGAATTTATATAGAAAACTGGTGTCCCAAAGCAACAGTTTCTAAAATAGCAGAAAGTTACAGCAAATTTTACATACAGCCAATGCCAATAATTATATACTATAAGAAAAATATTACAGTATTATCGATATAATTTAATTTTGACTAAAACAAGTTTGAGCTTGAATGAAAATAAATTTTGTATTCGATATTTATTATTGTTTGCTGGATACACCTACACAAGAGGCCAAAGTAACTGACGTTTATAAAAAGAAGTAGAACATAGCTATAGATTTTTTCAGAAGTAAATAATGATTTTTTAATAATTAGTTTTTAAAAATAACTCAAATGGATTTAAGACAACCAGGTAAAACAATACGATTTTTAGTAAAAAATACTTTATATGCGACTTTTTTATTGAACTTCATTCTAAAGGATTTTCTTTTAGACGATTCAAAAAACCTATTTGGCCCCTTGGTTTTTGAGGAAAGCCAGTACAGTGACTTCCAAAGCGATGTAGAAACACAGTGTTTACTCTGTGAGGATCGTTTCAATCTCAAACTGTCTTTACCGATGTTCCTTGCTCATATATTCGATGTTCATAGTGTAGTAATTGAAGATGTGCAAAATATAGATAATTTACATGAGTATGTACTGTCCCATAATATTTATGAAATATATAGTGTACATTGAGTGTATACAAATTTTCGTGGATGAAGAGTTTTATATTTATGAATGTTATATAATAAACACAAAATATAATCAATAGCCATAGTCTATTGTATTTTAAAATACTACACTAGACACTTTCATTTAAAAACAACTATTGATTATTAATTAATCTTTTCAATGATCTTATTTTAATTTTTAATATAGGATCCTATAATAGGTAACAAATACAATTTATAGTTTATAGATTATTTTTATATATACAAAAATATTTAATGTCATTTGTCAAAATAAAAGAATAAAATCTGTGTTTGCAGTAACTCTCTATTGACAACATATGCATTAGGGAAGGTTTCAAACTTTCAAGTAGTGTCAATGGCTTACTGTGTTATATGACACAATAGTGTTGACACACTGAGTTGATATAATAAGCTGTGCCAGTGTTGCTGGATCAACAGCCCTGTCCTGCTGGAATATAAAATTCAAGTCCTGGTAGATATCGCAAGCACTTGGTACAAGATTATTTTTCAAAATTTCTAGATACTTTACTGCGTTAATTGTGCCTTCCATCACACTCATATCTTACTAGACCCGCTGATGACATGCAGCCCCAAATCATAATTAATTTGGGAAACTTCACACTTCTTTTGGGGAAATCTTTATGGAATGCTTCATTTTGACTTTTGATAACCAGTTTTTGAAAGTCTAACACAAACATAAAATTTCTATTTGTCACTGAATATCACTCTGAGCTAGTCATCAGTGATCCATGAAAACTTTAAGCAACCGCTTCATTTGGGCAAGATTGAAGATTTCTTGGACTGTTGATGACTGGTCCAGAATCAGATTCAGTGATGAATCAAAATTTGATGTTTGTGTAGTAGACTTTTGAAGATGGGCTACCAGTCCGTAGTGTAAAAATAAAGCATTCCATAAATATTACCTCAAAAGAACTTTGAAGTTTCCCAAAGGAATTATTATTTGGGTGTGTGTGTCATCAGCTGGTCTAGGAAGATATGAGGTGGTGGAAGGCACAATTAACGCAGCTAATAAAGTATTAAGAAATGTTGAAAAATAGTCATGTACCAAGTTCTAACGATCTCAACCCGGACTTGAATTTTATATTCCAGCAGGATGGTGCTGCATGCCATACAGCTAAAACAACTAAAAAATGGTTTGGAGACAATAACATTAGAGTGTTCTCATGGCCTTCGAATAGTCACAACTTAATTTTATTAAGATATTTTGGCATAAGATGAAACAGAAATTGCATAATGATCCCAGAGAACCATCACAGATTTTAAGAGTAAATTAGGTGAATTACGGGATAGTTTCTACTCTGATTATCTAAATATTTAGTACAAAATAATGCCAGACAGAATTACTGTGGTTGTAAAGACGCGTGGCGAAGTAACCCCATACTATGATGTAATTTCTTAAATTGTTTGTACATTTAGTTGTCAGGATGTTATGCAACAGTTTCGTTTATTTTGCTGCCAATGCTGCAATTCAAAGTTTATAGAGACTGAACCATTTCAATATTTTGTTATTAATGATAGTTTAATAGCTTAATAAATGATAGTTTAATAAAGTGCAAATAAATAAATAAAAAATATAAATCTTTCATCCAATATTGAATACAGTGGAACCTCGATTATCCGTCAGGGCACCGGATCAAGGGTATGACAGATAATTGAAAAGAAGGTTAACAGAACAAAAAATTTCATAGTATAACTCTCAAATTTTATTTCTATGTTTTATTTGACAATATAAGAGGGATTTGTGTTAGTAGAGTCGAATCAATTTGATTTAAAATATTCCGAAATATTTGTTTTATTGTTACTTCACATTTTGCAACGGTAGAATTTCTTATTTGATGTAAAATCATCAAATCTATCTTATTTGCTTCTTCTTGCCGAGAATACCACTTAATGAATTGTTGCATGTGCGATGCAGCTTCTCTCGCTTTTTACGCAAATCTATGTGAGTTGCAATAGCATCATCATCGCCACTATCAAAGTCTCTGTCAGCTTCTGAATCAGTTTCGTCCGCCTCTGTTGTATCATCTGTTAGCAATTGATAGTCGTTTGTGTCCTCATCATAAATTAACATTCCGCATCACGCTCGTCTATCACGGGGGCATTTTCATCTGGAGTTGATTTAGGCCATAATTTATTCTACGAAATTTTCAGCGTTACTTTCGAAACATCAGCCCAAGCAGATTATATTCTGGCAAAAAATATTCCTCTTCCATGACTAGGTTTTGAATAAATTTTTTTCTGAATCTTCTTTTGAATGTTTTAATGACCGATTGATCCATTGCAGGCAGAAAAGAGCACCTGATAATTTCATCGTCACTTCGCAGCATACCGGCTTCAGGATGGGCAGGTGCACTGTCCATAATGAGAATCGCCCTTGGCGGCAAATTTTTTTCCTTGCAAGTATTGTCGAATGTCCGGTATAAAAACATAAAAAAAGACGTTAGAAAAAATGATAAACAAATTTTGTTTGCAGTACATACCTTTTTGAACCAGTAAGCGAATATTTTCTGGGACATCCATGCATGTTGTGCGTAGTAGTTAACGGAAAGCGGTTCATATTTATGCCCTTGAAACAACGTGCTTTTCTGCTGTACCAATCAATAATATAGGAAGGTGATGGTCACCACTTGCATTTGAACATATCATTGCTGTGATTCGTTGCTTTTGCGGTTTAAATCTTGGTTTATATTTTTCAGACAGTGCGAGTGTTTTCGTTGGCAATGCTTTGTAGTTTAAACCAGTTTCATCTGCATTGAACACTTGATCGCGTGTCAAACCATATTCATCGATCATATCTTGAACCTTTCCCGTATACCGTGGCGATTTTTGAACTTTTCCAACCAAACGCTGCTTCCTTTGAATGAAGGATCGTCATTCAATTTCATGTTGAGAAACAATGCTTTTTCGGCTACAATTGGTCCAGACAAAGAAACACCTTCGCTTCTTTTTTGAACGAACCACAAATACTAAATGACACTAAGTGACACATGAAACTCTAAAAGCATGGTACCATTTAGCATTACCTATATAAATGAAATTTAATCCAGAGAGCTGAATAAGAATAATAATTATTTACATAAATGATGAGGTGGCGGCATAACTTCACGTGTACATTTCAACAAATTTCGTTTGGCTTATCGCAATACTCAAACAAAATGAATTAATGACTAAATTTTTACTTATGTTGTCCATATAACTTATGTATGGACCCTGACGGTTAACAAAGGTGACAGTTAATAGAGAGACGGATAATCGAGGTTCCACTGTATAACCTAATATTTGACTCTTCTAATTTATAACAGTATGTTTTTTCTAGGTATGTCTCTTACTGGCATCAAAAATTTCAAAATAATTCCTTAGAACAAATTATTCCATCTCTTAGCTTAGATTCGACAGGCCAAAAGTATTATCTAATGTCAAGTTTATTAAAAGAAGATAAAGAATTAAGACACAAACTAAAATTGAATTATGCAATAAAAATTCAGGAATATGAAAGAAATAATAAAAACTTTAGTAGGTCTTGCTTGATGTGTAAACTAGAATATGAAGGTATGTGTAACAATTATATTTTTAATTAAGTATGGAATCCAAAATATTTAAAAGCAAAATCCACACACATACAATTTCATTTTATTAATAAAACTTGTTTTTAGGACCAAGACCTGGTTATTTTGAACACCTCTCCTCACAACATAATCTACAATTAGGGAACCCTCAAAATCTTGTGTTTGTTGATGAACTAATAAATAAAATTGAGAGCAAAATGACAGCACTACAGTGTATATATTGTGAAAGGACTTTTCCTGATAGACATGTTTTAAAAGAACACATGAGAAAAAAGCTACACAAAAGGATTAATCCTAAAAATGAGGAGTATGATAAGTACTATATTGTAAATTACTTAGAGGAGAATAAAACATGGAAGACTATTCAGAAGGAAAATGATAGATATGCAGTGAATAAAGGTATAATAAATATGTTCATATGTATGTCTCATTATAAAAGTGATTCCAATATTCCTTTATCATTTCGACCTTATCAGCGGGTACTCATAAAAGCTGCAAAGCTAGTTACTATACTATAATTCCACTATTTGAAAGAGTGATTTCATCGTTTGAAAGCGGAGAAGTGGGGAAAGACGTATGAAAATCCAGTGGCGTAAGCTCACTTTTCTCATCGTATCACTACATTCTCTTCTGACGTGAGCATTTTCCGTTTCTTTTACGGCTTTTCGTTTTTTTAATCAACATCAGAATTTTGCTGTCTTGGAACAACCCAGTTGTTCATCCCATTGTATTTTAATATTCACAGAATAAAACTAAAAATTAACTATAAAATGACAAACTCTAATAAAACTCGGATTATCACTACAAATTTCAACCGCACAAAATATAATAACAAAATGCAACTGAAGTTCCATTACGATACTTTACAAAAGTTGCCAAGTCTTTGAAACGGAATGGAAATGAAATAAAATATCGATTTTTATTTTATAAACTTAAATGTGTAACGAAACATGTAAATACAATTTATTTGATTACTATTTTGTGCTTAGTTTTTACTATTGAAAAAACTAATTTTTTTTATATTTTTATGCGTAATACTGCTGTGTCGAAATTTAAGTTTGTAAGACCATTAATGCTACTTGTGAACAAGAATCGGCTACACCGTACGGTAGCTCGTGGTCAAGTCTGCTATAGAGAAGCAGAAATAAATGTACTAATTATACATTCTCTGATTTCTTATAGAAAAAGCAATTTAAATGGCTAGTTTTCGAGGGCCTTTGTGAATATTTGAATTTGAGGCTATTCAACGTTTAAACGATAAAATCACTCTTCGAAATAGTGGAATTTTACTATAGATCTGTTCTTTGTAACCTATATAAGTTTATACTATTTCTTTTGTAGAATCAGAAGCAAATGCAGATGAAGAGTATTCAGATTGGAATGAGAAAGAAGATTTAATCACATGTTTGTTCTGCAAAAGTAAAGAAACGGATATTAACGTGATTTGTCTTCATATGGAGAGCGACCATGATTTTAGCTTTGTAGATGTTACTAAAGATCTTGATTATTATCAGAAAGTAAAATTAATCAACTATATAAGAAAGCAGATGCACCAAAACAAGTGTTTGTATTGTGACAAGAAATTTAATATTATTTTAGATTTACAAACGCATTTAAGGGAAGAAAATCATTATAAAATTCCAGACTTGAAGATTTTTGATCAACCTGAGTAAGTTTTAGTGTCACTATAATATACAGTTGAGTCCACGTCTCTTTACCCGTACGTCATCATTTAAAGCATATGAAATAAGTTGGAAATTTACTCCAGGCAACAGCAAATATAATTAAATATACAATAATATTTATAGTGTGTTGATGTAATAGGTAACAGTAAAATTATTTAAAGAATGAAATATTATTTAGTTCAAATATTTTTGCCAGATACTGAATGTACTGGTAGTTGCAAGATATTTAGGATTTAATCTTCTAATGTTCTTCTTAATCTTAAAAAATAATGCTATTTCTTTTTAATTTAAGTAGTAATTACTGCTCAAACCGCTTTTCAAAAAAGTACTGTCCATATCTTGATGATAATCTAAGCGACAATCACTTACACTCTTAGCAGAGAGCAATAAAGCATCTTATACCCATCCTGATTCTCTCCCACAATGTAAAATACAAATTCTCTTCTCTCTAGAGAGCGGAACATTGATGACGCAAGTTTTACTACCATCGGTCCAACATTTTTTAACTATATCGTGGGTGTCGAACCAAGTTTCATCCACATGATACAATTTCTTCCATTCACTCATAAAAAGACCTTAGACTCTCCAAATAATCGAACCTCCACTTTATTAAACGGCTGGATTCCATAATTGCTTGCCGTTTATTCACTGTTTTAAATATAAAACCATTAGATTTTAAAAACCTCCAAAAAGTAGTTTTATGACACTCGGGAATTATTTCTTTGTTTCTTAATTCACTCAAAAGTTTATTTAAAGTTGGTAAGTTATTCACTGAATACATATGATATATTTGTTTTCCGTAGAGCTGATAAATGAAAATTCAATAATACTCGATGGGCCCCAGAACCCTTTGTATTTTTTCGCAACACTGGACCGTCTTTTTTAAGTTCGTACACAGTGGATAGTGGCACTTGTGTCAAAAAAAACTTTTTTTGTTTGATCGCTTTTGGGTGGCTATTCGTTACAGCATTAGGGGAGTACAGTCATTTTGTGTTTGATATCGGCCCAGTCTCTTAATCTGGGGAATTCCATCCGAATTATCTTGCAACTGATAGTACATCTATGGTAATTTTCAAGATATTTGGTAAAGTTTAAGAATTGCCGGCCATAAACGACCCTTTATGTAGATAAAATCGAGATATATAGGGTTGATAAACTAGTATGAAACCTGAAATAGTGGCAGGAATGTACAGGACATCATCACTAATCATTTCTATATCTATAAATAAACTCTCACAGGAGTTAATTTAGCGATAATTTGATATAAGTAAACATTATCCTTTTACCTGAATAAAGTTCCAAGAAATTTTCTAATCTCTTATAAATACTGGCTTTAAATACCTAGAAATTTGTAATTCTGAATTCCAAGTACAAATGTTGTTGTTTGTTTGTGTTTATATGACTGCGGACACTAAATCCATTCGCCAACAAGTACAAAATCGTTAACAACTCAAAATTGAAATACCTACCAGTCTACACCTACTTTGTATCATTTAGTAAAGTACCTTTAAACTTTGGATAGAATTTAAAATTGAACCTAATGTAACGAAAGGGTGACTATTCGTTACAGCATTAAGGGAGTACAGTCATTTTGGGCTTGATATCGGACCAGTCTCTTAATCTGGGCTACAGCTTTCGAATTATCTTGCAATGGAGTATATGTAACAGTTTTTCCAGGCATAATCTCAAAATTCAACAAAACATTTATTTTTTGTCATTTCTTTCACTTTTGTGGAAACTTAAACAAAACCATTCCTTAACTGTTTGAACGAGGTTACGAAACTTTGCATGTAAATTAATGGTAAAATAAAATTCACTTACCATGAAATTTCAAACTCCAATATAAAATTAATTGTGGAAACAACTGTTTGTTTAATATAAATAACTTCTAAATGCAAAAACAGGACAAAAAAACACCCACAAGTAAACAAACCAGAAACATTACAAATTGTATGTCCCGTAATCTGAAAACGTCCCCAAGACAATATTTTTTGTACATATGTCTTTTCGATATACTGAGTCTAGAGCGTTCATAAAAATAACATGTGTCTTTACTTAATAACAAGCGGTAGCTGGTTTTTCTTTAGTTTCATACGTGAACGCCAATGATGCTAGATAAAAAGTATGTATTTTATCTCGCCAGGTATTAATGATGCACGGGTAAAGAAACATGGTACATGTACATGGTACATGTAATACAAGGTATTAAAATGATCATTCAAATATAATCTTGAAGTTGTAATTGTCAGATTTTCGTTACGTTTAAAATAATTTGGTAGACAATTTTGCACGATATAAATATAAAAATAATAAATGTATACTTTGAAGGTTTTTTTATAAAGTATATTATATATTTTTTTAGGTTTTATTTTCCCACATATGAAAATGATGCTTTCCTCTATTTGATCGATGATGTCGAAGACTGAAAGTGCAGAAATATAGCAAATACGTGTATTTATATCAATTTATTATCAACTGTTTTTGTTATTGATGTTTTATAATATAAATAAACCGTAAAATACAAAAAGTGATTTAATATTGTTTGTGTTTCTTGTCTGATTTTAATTATTATGTATTTTCTATGTACATATCTCGGTATTATAGGTACATGTTAAGAATATATCTCAAAAAATAATTAGTTAAAAAAAATAGAAAATGGATAAAAAAATATTAAAATATTGGGATTGGCACTAAGAGCAAAGAACAACTCTCATTGTGTTTGATAATAAAAATAAATTCTATATATTTGCCAACGGCAGAACAAGCAAGAGCGTCAGGCCAGAAAAAGCCTATGCGGTTTTGAATATATTATGCAGTCTATTGAAATTATAATTTATAAAGTCATAAGTAAGTTCAACATATCTCCTCGCGTTTCTTTTATCCTGATACAACCAGTCAGAAACGGTAAATTTACATTAAGACAGTTCTATTAAATAAAAGCACAAAGAAGTTCCAAATACTTCATCGCGTTTCTGTTGTCCTAATACAAACTCAGAAAGAAAACATTTTCATTCAAATGATTTATTGAGTCCATTGGAATTAAAATTTACAAAGGCTAAAAGACGTTCCTAATAATACCTCCTCGCGTTTCTTTTATCCTAATACAAACTGTCAGAAACTGAACATTTTCCTTCAAATGACTTATCCAGTATAAACAGTCTATTAAACTTAATTAAAATTTGTGTAAAGGCACAAAGAAGTTCCAAATACCTCCTCGCGTTTCTGTTATCCTAATACAAACTGTCAGAAACTGAACATTTTCCTTCAAATGACTTATCCAGTATAAACAGTCTATTGAAATTAATTAAAATTTGTAAAGGCACAAAGAAGTTCCAAATACCTCCTCGCGTTTCTGTTGTCCTAATACAAACTGCCAGAAACAAAACATTTTCATTCAAATGATTTATGGAGTCCATTGGAATTAAAATTTACAAAGGCTAAAAGAAGTTCCTAATAAGACCTCCTCGCGTTTTCTTTTTCCTAATACAAGCTGTCAGAAAATGAACATTTTCCTTCAAATGACTTATCCAACAGTCTATTGAAATTAATTAAAATTTGTAAAGGCACAAAGAAGTTCCAAATATCTCCTCGCGTTTCTGTTGTCCTAATACAAACTGTCAGAAAGAAAACATTTTCATTCAAATTATTTATCGAGTCCATTGGAATTATTAAAACTTCAAAGGCTAAAAGAAATGCCTAATAATACCTCCCCGCGTTTCTGTTTTCCTGATACAAACTGTCAGAAACAGAACATTTTCATTCAGTTAACTTATCGAGTATGTCTATTAAAATTTGCAAAGGCTAATAGAAGTTCAAAATACCTCTACACGTTTCTGTTATCCTAATACAAACTGTCAGAAACTGAACATGTTCAGTATATTTATTTTCCATTACGTTCCTTTCTTTGTCATAATTTTATCTGATATAATCAATCAACTTTAGTTTGTTGCTTTGCTTCATTTAAGTATTTTATTTTGCTCGACTTTGAATGATTTATCTTTCTTTTCTTTTTTGAAGGATTTTTAGCTCATTTGTCAACCTGTAAGTAGTTCTATTTTGTTACACACAGCCTATACACACTTCGTTTTTATTGTGCCTTTTTTAGGGATACTTTCGACACTGTTTTAGGTGTTTCTGTATATAAAAAATACAAATGATATCGTTTTACTATAAATTTATTGTTACTAAAATGCAACAGACATTAAAAATTTCTTACAATATATTACAAAAACGTCCTACAAATTAAAACAACTTTCAAAAGTCGAGTTCTACTAAAGGTACATTGTCGCTAAAAACAAACAAGAAGACACATAGTCAATCTAACAAACAAATATTGAAAACAAGTGCCAATAATGAAAAAAGTAAAACAAACAATTTTTTAGGTACAAACGTATATTTAACGTTAGTTTACCACCCAAAGCAGTTTTAACACGGCTACTGACAGCGCCTACTAAAGGGACACTTAATATGAGTCATAAATTAAAAGGGCTGTTGTTATATACACCTAGGGTCGATACTGGTACATATAAGACTAGCGATTGGGTTAACTGCTTTGAATCGATTCGTTAAATTAAATTGTGTTTTGGCAGATTTTACTTAGTAACTTATCATAATGACCGATTCCTTGGAGTAATCTCAAACTTTTTTGGTAAAATAACGTTCACTAATTAGATTCATGTTGTAAGAAATTGATTTGTCAAATCAATAAATCTCGACTTACATTTAACCTAATGTTTTACATTAAACTAACTATTAAATTAACTAGAGTTAAATAAAATATATAATACAGCTTAAAAGTTCATATAAAAAACTCAAATCAGCCTTTATTTAAAGTCATATTATTATTTTTTCTTTAAATTAGCCGTCAAAACAAAAAAATGTTCTAAATGGTAATTAATATTTTATTCAGTTTGTAACAAAGTCAAAACTTACTTAGATGAGAACTGCATTAAAAGCAAAACAAAGTGGGATATGATTTACTTATTTTAACGAAGATTTTCGGTTAATATTTGGCAAGATCTGGAATTAAAGATTGTTAATAAAAATTAGATAGTAAAAGTCTGCACAAGGTCTAGAAGAGAACAGTTTTGTTCCCTTTTTTTTTATATTTTTCCACGGCTTTTATCTTTCAGCACACAGTCCAATTTTATGTTTCTCCTCTATCTTTAAATACAAAAACAGATGCTAAACAGTACAAAAAAATGATCTACAATTTATGCACAGTCAAGAAAAAACGCGACTTTACAATTACATACAAAAAATTGTGATAAATACAAGAAAACCCAAACCTGTATCGAGCTTAAACACGCCTCCTCTCTCTAGTTTGTTGTTAATCCATTTCGCGTTTTTTCTCTTGTATGTGCCTTAAATATTCTTGTCCACCCGTATTTTGCTTTTTTGCAGAACCGTCATTTACCGAACAATAAATATATTTTTTTTAAAAACGTGTCACAAGGACAAATTTGTGCCTAACACAAAAACAAACGATTCCGCTTACACTAAATAAATTAAAAATTACTATAATTAACTAGACCAATCTGTGGCCGGTGTAATTGCGCTCAAATAAGGCGGACCTCTGACTGGCGAATCGGGGAATCTCTGCATGTAACGTTCCAGACGTAAGTACTTCACTGTCACCAGATGGCCAGAGTACCTAAAAAATAAACAGTAATTATTAGTATTAAATACTCTAATTAACTCTAAAATAGATAGGTCGCAGCCAGATGATTAAATTAGCCATTCGATAGAACAGCTAGAGCCCTTTGATTAAACAACCTCGTTCATAACATGTCTGAATGTCGATTAGCCTAGTGGCTAATCGACATTCATGACACACATGTCATATCACGACCACGAAGATAATGTAACAGGCATTTGGACGACGATACGTCAAGTCGATCAGTGTAATCAAGCAGCTAATTGAAATAGTGATCTAGTTTGCACGGCTAGCCCTTTCATTTGATTGAACATCGCGTTATGATGTCTTACTTATAAAATGATGTTATTTATTTCACAGATAAGGTTATTAATAATTTTCATATTATATTTAAATCATTTATTGACAACTTACACTGTTATGACATTTAGATCCACAAAGAACTTTTTTCGTGAAGGAAGCACATCTCATGGTACGGTATTGTTTTTGTGCTGGTTTACACGAGCATTGTTTAAAACCTTGCCCCCCAAACTGTGATTGTATAGTCACAGCTTCTCGTTAAGATATCGGGGTATCTAAAATTTCATCATCATAGCTTTCCATTGATGAGTGCAATTCTTGTCGCACAAATCAATTTTTAATAGTTTCTGTTTTTGTGCCTATTCTATAAACTCCATTTCTAAAATCCACAATTTTTGCTTTGACATTTTTGGTGTCTAAAGGTCCACGATTCACTTTCGGTAAACTTACCAGGAAACTACTGCCAATAAGTAGAGGTGTCAGTTTTTTGTTGTGTTCTCAATCATTTTTTCAATTGCACGTTTTAAACTTTTGTGGGCATCATTTCTCTGACAAGATATGTTTTCTTCCGTTTTGCAGAAACACAGTACTACTGGAACCAAAACCTTCCTCTCCTACTACAGACAATCCACATGTGACATGAACATGTTTATTGCAAGACTTACAGCTATGGGCGCTAGTGGTAGAATTCTGACATGTGCGACAAATTGGTTCAATCAAACGAATATTTTTCAAGCAGTTAACTGGTGCTACTAGCGGCGCGGTGGTTAAGAAACAAATTACGTCAATGATATGGCGGTTTTTCAATCAGCATGTCGTTAAACTTTTTAATTGCATAAAATTTTACAAAATAACTACTCGTGTGATTGAATGGAGTTGTTTAATCGAACGGCTAATTTAATTGTGCCATATATATGCTTTAAATTTATAATAGCGATAGCAAAGCTTTTGCTTAAAGTTTTGCTAAAGCTCAAAAGGATAGAAAAAAATTTTGTTAAATCGTGTTGTGTTCATCGTCATCAAAATAGGTGGCACCTCTTATAGCTACCAACGACCTGTGGGAAACAAGCAGACATTCGCCGACCATCTGTGTATGAATTTGTATCTTTCACGGATCTCTGATGAAGCACATGAAGCATATGAAGGTATATACTGAAATAACATTATAAGATCCTACTGATACCGATTCAGACATGGATTTTTTGACGAATTGTACTGTTGTGCCGTATATTAATCTTTCAAACCAGGCATAGGTAATGTACATTAAGGTAATAATGACAACTGCCCTTTCTCAAGCCCACTGCTGTCGCCAAGGACGCATACGTTTTAACTTTTAGTTATCAAGTTTTTGCATTGCAGCTTCACAAAACTCCATTCTACGAAATTGATCTCCGGGAAATAACTCTGGAGTTTTCGAATATTAAACTGTTAAAGCCATATTTTTTAAAAACTGTATTAACTGTGTTATGCGAGGCCTCCAACTCCTCGACGACACTTCTAGTGGCACTGGAGTTATCCACCTCAATGGTAGCACAA